TTGTCATAAATGGGGAGTTTTCAAAGGCAGAACTGAAGTCAGGCAATAATCTGTATCACAAGCGTTCCTGAAATTTGGCCTCCCACTTGTCTCTTTTGTTTCTCTCCCCTCAAGTGATTTTTGTGCCTGTTGCATTTCATCTTGGTAGTGTGGATGGGCAGGACAGCCCAGTGTGACCAAGGACACGTTCCCAGCAGTGCCTCCAGCACTGCCCCATCTGCTGCAGTCTGGAAAACCCAGCATTGAAGATAAAAGTGGAAGTTCTCCCCAAACAAGACCTTGTTTTAGAAAATAAGAAACAGCTTTAAAGAACAAATCAACAGTCTCTCCTACAACACAGAAAACCTAAACATTATTGTTTTATGCTTGCAACACATGAAGTCGTGATGGTAACGGAACTGAAGAACATCTCAGACATGGGAAGGGAGAGCTCAAGCCAAAGTCAGGATAAACCAGACACAGTCAGGCTCTTGCCCCTTTTGCTCCACCTACAATCTGGCATTACTAAGAGAGAAGCAATGTCCAGCATGCTGAGGACTTGTTTTATTTATTGTTTTAAACCCAAGCACAGGCTAAAAGGCTTTTTCTCATCTAGATCTAAGGCTGGTGGTTACAGACTACATATGTACAATTCCTGCCATGCTTCACCGATGTGCAATGGGGCATTCAGGCAAGTGGGGAGACAAGACCGCTGCAACTCAGTATTTACAAACTGGGAGGAAATGCTCAGCAACAGCACACCAATATCCACAGAAAATTAAAACAGGCTACAGTCATCAACCCAGCAAGCAGGCCAGGGAATGCTGTGGCTGGTAACAGGATGAGACAAAGGAAAGAGACCTCAAGGGGAGGGTCAGTAAGTAGGAGAGAAATAAGATTTGGTTTTGCAATTGACACAGTGATCAACTTTTCCAGGTTACTTGTTTTTGGACCAAGCTGACTTGCAGAAGTTAGACTGAGGACTGGAAGTAATGCTCTGTCACAGGGTTCATGGCAGACCATCCAGGGCAAGCTCCAACACGGCTCCTGAGTCAGCAACTCGCAGCAGCCAACACTGTCACGGTGTACATTGTGTACATTCCCTCCTCCGCTCACTCTCAGAGCTAGGAAAACTCCAAAAAGCAGGGTTAGGAACATCACGGCCTGCAGGCTAGGTTTTTACAGAAACAAGATGACTACAGCAGCAAATAAAGCAGGACATGACTAATAAAATATTTAAGAGGGCAAAGTGATCCTACCACACCCACCTGCCAAGCCCAGAGGTTATTTCTTTGACAAAGACAAGCAGCCAGCACAGAACTGAGACTCACCAGCATTTGGCAAACTGTCCAGCCCATGGGACATGACAGCAGAAACCCACTGAAGAACCTTTTCACTGCAATGAAACATGCATTGCAAGTTTTCATCTCCTTCTCTGTTTCCACACCTCAAACCCATCCCACCCTAACTGCCTCGAACAGATGCACCCACTGTATTTCCAAATTACCTGAAAACACCAGCTCTCCCAGGAAAAGAAGGAGTCTTCCTACTTAAATACATATTGAGAAGCCACAAAGTAGCCTTGCAAAGACATTTGGACTTGGGCTGCTTGTTCAATGCAATCTGTCTACAGTCTGTTGTCTGCCATCAACTTCAGGAGCCTGACCCCGAGCCCAAAGCTGACAGAAACCCTTAGCTGAATCCACAGGCTGTCCCATTCCTGCAGTGCACCACAGCCTCCCCTCACATCATGCCAGAGTCACCAGAAACACTCAGATCATGTCTGTGAAATAGAAAAATGGTCTTCAGAAGATCACTGTTTCTGTTTCAGAGAAGTATGGATAAATTAGGAAATAATTGATAGGATGATGGGGATGATCACATCAAAGGCTGACAGAACATGTTTTTGTAGAGGGATAGCATTGGTATTTCACCTACACACATCATCACCTCTCTGCCCCTTTACAATGCTCTGTGCAGGAATCTCTTCAGCATCTGCTCAGAAGCAGGAGCAATGCAGCCCAGCGCACCTGCTGCTATCATCAGTTTTAAAAGTCCCCAAAAAGCAAAAAAGAACTAGCAAAACAAGTCCAAAACTTCAAAATCTTAGCACCAGTTTTCCAGCAATTCACTGCAGGGTCTCATTCACATCATCACGACAGGGCCAGGCTGTGCTGGTGCTTGCTCAGAGAAACCAGAGGCAGTGGGAGACCCCAGCCTGTTCCCAGGGCACCAAAAGGCAGTGGGGAGCCCCGTCTGCTCCCAGGGCATCTGGGTGGCTCTGCTGCTCCCCAAACAGCATAGGCACACACAGTGCTGGCCAACGTTTGGCTGTGCATCTGTCCAGCAGGACTGAAAGCCTTTGCTTTTCCTACCCCACAGGAGTGTTGCAAGAATTAGTTCATGTATATTCAGCACCGTTTTTCAAAGTGCTGCAAAAGAGCCAAACCCTTCGATTTTTTTCATCTGTTCCTTGCTCTGTCACTCCCTCCTGACAGGATGTGTTTCTCCCCTCCTGAGAAGCAAACAAGCACGAGGTCAGCAAGAGTGGGAGGTGGGAAGCACATTCCAGGCTGCTTCTCTTCTCTCAAACCACAAATGGCACCAAGCCCTGCCATCCTCCCAGTGCTCTGCACTAGTGCTCAGCATCTTGGCCTCGTGATGCAGCCCAGGGAGGAGCTGGACAGGGTACACAGCAGGGTGCTGAACCTCATCTCATTTCCTCCTTGGTTTCAAGAAGAAAACACCAGGGTGAAGTGGCCACCCCCAGAGCTGTGCAGCCTGTCTGTGCACCCACAGCATGGCAAGGGGGGATCTGCAGAAGCCCCACTTTGAAGCTCCTCTTTTCAGACAAAATGCAGAGCAGATGCTGCAGCCAAAGTCAACCCAGAGGGTGTGGAGCTGATGCATCCCAGCCCCCAGGGAACATGCCAAAGCCTTGGCACTCAGCCTTGGCATGAGGGGATGGTTCACATCCAAGTGTACAACAGCAGGCCTCATGTTTGGTGCAAGTGCAGGCAAATCCCATGTGGGGCATTTTCTCCTGTGCACAGACTTGTTGAGCCAGAGCAAAAGGGCAATCCTGGGAGCAGAGCTTAGGTACAGGCAGCAGCCAGGTGAGGATGTGGACAAATCACTGCAGGGTGCTGTGAGGGACCAGGCTGCTCAGACTGCTGCTTAAAAAACCCAAGAGCATCAGAAGGGGTTAAAGACAAAGGTTTTAAAAACACAAACAAGTCTAATCAGAGAGCAGCATCCCTTGGCTCCAATGCCTGACACCCGGACAGCCGTGCAGATAACAAGAACATCCACTACTCCATCTGAAAGCAGTGAAATCAGCATTAGCATGAATATAAAATCCCCAGATGTTGCAAAAGCAAATTAAGATGAGTCACACATAAAATAAATTTTAAAAGGGCTGTTTTCAACACATTGCTTTGATAAGTTTAGAATGGCATTTTAAATGAGGAAAATAACCTCAATCTCAGTAGAAGCGCATATGCAAGAACAGCCCATACCCTAACATTTTCTGGGGTTTATATATCAATATTACTGAATTGGGACACAAAAACGCTATCATTTAATTTAGAGGAAAGTTCTTCAGTGAGATTGACATCAGTGAATCTGAAAAAGGCTTTGAAATCAGATTAAGAAATCACTTAACTTTTTAGCATGACAAATTTTGTGTCACTTCCCATAGATGCTGACACTACACAGAATATCTTTTATATAGGACCATCTGTGCACTGGCACTGCACACAAGCCAAATTACAGTTCCAGTTCCCCCCCAGGATTCCTTTCAGGAACTCTATGTATCACATGGCCACTAGAGTTTAAGCTAATGCAGTTCTAGTCCCTGACTTGTAAAACTGACATTAAGGCAATGACAGAAAAGGAAGCATAGAAAAAGCAATGTAGCTATGATTTTCCACTAGGTTTCAGTGTGCTGACTGTTTGCCTCCTTGATGTGTTGCTGCATAAGAACTACACCACAGGCACTGCCTAGGAAAGATGTTTGTTTGTCCACTTCGAAATGGATTTCAGCAGAATACCCTCCCTGTGCTCTGCTATGCAGGTTTCCACCTATTAAGTTGCCTGTAGCAACTAAAAGGTTATGAATGTGCTTAAATAAAGCAGAAATCCACAGGGAGATGTTCCAGAAATGCTTTAAACATTGCGCTTGGCATGAAACAAAATTCCCAGAATTTCTGTCCTTACCAGTCATGAACAGGATGACTTACTACAGGTAGCTGGCTTGACAGAACACAAGTTTTGAATGAATAAGAAAAATACCATTATCATGGTGTGGGTTGGTGGGAGGGAGTTGGGTTTTTCTTCTTTTTTTGGCCAGGCAGTTCAAAGAGTAACCACCATTTTTCTCAGAGAAGGCACCAGTTATAAGGCAGAAGTTACTGGGATAAGAGGATGACACTCAGGACGTCAGCAGCTGCTGAATACTGACTGCACACTGTTACTCTGCAGAAATATTGCAAAGTATTTCACATCACATCAGGACAATGACCATCAGGTCCCTGGAACACAGGTTATGTACCTTCCAGCTTCACCTACAGTCCCAACTCCTGAAACATGGCATCAGTTCAGGCTGTCTGAAACGGAAACACCTCTGGCAGAAGGCATTGGGGGGTTACTGAGGGGTCTCTGGGGGTTCTTCTACAAACTGAAGGCAGACGGTTTTCATAATTATACTGTGTTACAGTAAAACAAAAGCATCCTTTCCCCAAAGCAAACAGAAAAACCACTCAAAACAAGACAGGAAAAGCACAGGTTAACCAAAAGCGGAGAGACTCTATGTTGCCATCCAGGATTCCCTGTCTCGGGAACTAACCATGACCACTGACCGCACACAGCAGAGAGAACGTCCTAGGGGACCATACCAGTACGGCTTGGGAGGGATGGCAGAGGCAGAGGGGGCACACCTGGGATGCTCGGGAGTACGGAAGCGCGGGGAACCCTCCGGAGAGGGCGGTCAGGAGGGCCGGGGCGGGGCGGGCGGTGCCTACCTGGATGTATGCGCGCTGCAGGTAGCTGTAGGGCACCCTGCGCTGGAAGTCGGCGCGCACCTCCTCGGCGGCGCGGTGCCGGGACACGGCGCCCAGGCGGGGCTGCTCGCAGCGCCGCACGCACTCAGCGCGCCGCAGCACCGAGCCGAAGAACGCCAGGTCCCCTCCGGAGCCCGGGCCCGGCTCCGCCAGCCGCACCTGCGCTCGGCACAGCCGCCGGCACCGCAGCCGCGCCGCCCGCAGCTCCCGCCGGCTGCGCAGCGCCCGCTCCAGGCACCGCGCCGCGCCGGCGAAGTCCCCGCCGTAGTACGCCTCCACCCCGCTGGCGTACAGAGCATCGAAGGGCTCCAGCGGGCCGCCCTCCGCCGCGCACCCTCCGCTCGCCGCCGGCAGCACCGGCAGCACCGGCAGCAGCAGCAGAGCCAGCAGCGGCAGCAGAGCCAGCAGCGGCCGGGTCCCCCCGCGCCGGCTCCCGGCTGCCATGCCCGCCGCGCCGCCGGGACGCGCCGTGGGCAGCGCGGGGCGGTGCGGTTCGGCGGCGGGATGCGGGAGGGGCCGGGGCTCCGCGCCGTGCAACTCCCTGCAGTGCGGTCCGTGCAGCGGATCGCGGCGTGCTGGGATGCGGGGATCGGTGCGATGGATCTCGGTAGAGCGGGACGCGGGGGTCCGTCCGTGGGAGCGGGGCTCGGTGCGGTGGCTGCGGGGCCGCGGCTCCACGCACGCCCGGCCTGTGCCGCCTCCCGCGCCGCCGGCACCTCTTAAAGGGCCCCGCGCCGCCGCCCCGGCCCGCCCCGCCCCGGCCCCGGCCCCCCCGCCGCGGCTGCTCGGAGCATCCCCGCTCCCCCGCGGCCGCAGGGGCTTGCGAGTGACGTCGGGAAATGGGAATCGTCCCGCGGTGATGTCAGCGCAGCAGCGGCAGCAGGCTTTCCTCCCGCTTCTCCCTGCCGTGCCCCGCACCTCCTCCTGCCGCCCCGCATCCCGCCGCTGGCGGCCCGGTTCAAAGGATGCTTGGTTTTGTCTCCCTGCGAGGCTGCTGCTGCTTCGAGCCGTTTTTCGCTGGGTTCTCCACCCCACTCGCCTTTCTTACCCCGGCACCCTGCTGCCTTCGGGAATTCTGCAAATAAATAATCTGGGATGGGCACAGTGAGTGGCTGGCGAAGCTTTTTCAGCTTCCAGCTGTGTGTTTGTCTCGATTCCTCCAAGATTTCTCTCTTCCAATGCTGCAACGCCCTGCCCTGCCAAAAATGTTACTAATTTTTTTTTGCATTAATTTTAATGCTTTCTTGTGACGAGACGCTTGGCAATGCAGACTGGTGACACATGAAAAAAAAATCTTTGTTGGCATTTTAAATAATCTCAGTGTTGAACACCTGTCACCAAGAAATTTTTCATATTAACATAGTTAATTTGGCTGAAATCAGCTGTTTCTGAGTGAGGGGGACTGACCAAACCCTGGATTTGGCTAGGTGCTTCACTGTAAGATGTTCTGGGCTCTGCTGCTCCAAAGTCTGTGCTATATGCACTGTTCTCAGTAGGGTCTTTGTTCTGTGCTATATAGCACTGTTCTCAGTAGGGTTTCTCACAAGGCATTGTGGCTTTATTTCTTTCAGGCATTTCAGGAATATCTCTACAGATATTGCCTATATTCTCGTAGACTAAAACAGCTGTAAATGTGAGATGCTTGAAATCCACTTGGTCCAGACTTTGTTACTGCAATAAGCCAGATGTTCCTCACGGTCATGCTGTGCATCCCCCTCTGCTGCTCCAGTGACTTTGATCAAATCATGCCTTGTTTATACTGCTGTGTCCCGGATCACAAACAGGGCTCAAGAGCCTCTCATTGGCCAAGTGATCAGATTATGGAGTCAGTTTACCACAGTTTCTCATAAAAGAAGTTTTTTTTTTTTTTTCCACATGATTAGAGATTACTAGAGTTCTTGGTGAAGATCTTTCCCATCTGGCAAAGATTTCATAACAATTGTCCTTGTTGCTTTCTTGCAAATTGACACAAAATGTTTTGAAGGTTTGGGTGTCCCTCCACCCTTCTGCCTGCCAGGCTGGCATGCTGGGGAGGGTATCACAACAGGAGAACCCAACTCTGAAAGGGTATCTGCAGTGGGAGGGGTACATACTGTAACCGTTTGCCTGTGCAAAATAAAGTTCTCAGGTCCAGATAAAGGCTTTTGCAAAGAAAAGTTTATCAGCACTCCTCTGGGAGCAGAGGCAACATTATGAGAGGACCACCTTAACCTTCTCAAGGGTTCCAGAGGTGCCACTGGTGACTGTAGAAGTTTAGAGCTGGGAAGAGCTCTGCCCCAAATCACAGGGATAAAATGCTTGGCTCCCTGGGTGAATGTTCTCAAGGGTACATCTCAGATGATCTGTTTGCAGAAGTGCTGTACCCAATTCCACATTGCTTCCAAGTCAGCAACAACTCTGTGCTCGCAGTGGTAACAGGCCCTGCATAGGAAGGAATGCAGAAAGTACATGAGTGACTGGAGAGAGAAAGAAGTCAAACAAAATGTTTTATTTCACCCTGCTGCATGTTCTGGTCCAGATCTTTATTTTCATTAAAAGTCCTTTTTAAAACAATGAAGAAAAAGTTATTTGTTCTGACCTATTCTGCTGCCCTTCTTGCAGGGTTTTCTCTGTAGGCACCCACTCACTTTAGAGCAGACTGGCACTTTGCAGGCTCCCTGCCTGGAGTCACACTTTCTTTGTTCACAGACATTTGGCTTTCCCTCACCTTGGTGGTCTGTTGTTAGCTAACTGCAGCAAAGAGCTCAACAAGACTTGGCACAAACGAGGCTCTTAATCCAGGGTATCTCTCCAGGGTATCTCTCCAACATTCGGTGCAGTTGCTTGAACAACCACTTTCAGTTTTACGAGCCTGCTCCCTGCCAGAGCAGCAAGCAGATGAAAAGAAGTTTGCTGGTCCCTTTATTGTGAGTCTTATTTTTGCAGAAGAGCTCCACTATAACATCCATCAGTGCTGCTGCTACAGCCATCAGCATCATAGGCAAGGTAGGCTTGTCTCCTGGAGCTGGAAAGGAACTGGGTTTGGAAGCTTTGCTTCCAAAACAAATACAAAGAGAGGGTTTCATCCAGCACAGCAAGTACTGGTTTTGGATGTTACAACTCTGAATCAGGCCCCAAGATGCCTGAGATATCCCTCATGCCTTTAATGAAAGAAATAATTCTAAAAATGTAACAATTCAGCCCGTGTTCAGATGTTGATCCTGGCCCCTGTGCAGTTGTTTTGAAAAACCTTTTCCTACGTAAATAGGTTCGTCTGAAGCTTTAGGGTTTGTTTTTTTTTTTTTTTTTGCTTGAAAACTCTAATATGTGAGTTAAACCACTGATGATTTGGCAACAAGATATGAGCAAAACTTAAAATTACTTTCAAAATGGCTTTCCAACATGCACTGTAAAAGCAGACCTAGGTTTCAAGCCCTCTCTGTTTAATTTGTAGACTTGCTTTCGTATTTAATCATGGACAAACTTTATAATTCCAGATGAAACACAGGTGACCTTTTCATGCATGTACCTTAGTGAGATAGAGCGCTTTGAGTCAGGTGGAAAAGTACAACATACCCTTATTAAAGGGCGTTGGGTTTTGCCTCATTTACAAAGCTGAAAGTTAATTGCATATATCACATCCATTAGTTAAGTACTTCATGATTTAGACCCAAATCCATACCTGAATTCCATAGAATGCCTCCATCTAACCAACACCATTTTTATTCAAGAAGGTGTGAGTGGTTGTGAATGTCAGTAAGTGTCAGGAAATGAATACCAAATGAAAAGATGTGCTGCAGTATTAATCATGCACCATATTTTGAGACTCTTCTCCCAGGAAAAATCCATCATTGAAGTTGTATAAAACTAGTCTGGGTTTGGGCAGACTGAAAGGATGAGTGACCAAGGACGAATTTTCTCTGTACATTTTTAATCTTGGTATAGCAAGATGGAGCACATTGCAACAGTGTACAAGATGGATGGAATATCACAAGGTGCCTGTTGGGGATGCCTCTGCATCTGCTCCAGGCTTTTCCTGTTGTTTCTTTGCTGGTGGCTCACAAATCTGCTTCCCCACAGCTGTCCCCCTGTATGTTTGGCCTGTCTCTGATGCATTGCTCTGCATCGGCTGCTGATAACTTGAGGTCAGCACAGGTGAACAGGTCTTTAATTTTTCTTCCAATGCATTTTAACTTTTACTTCCTTCTAGCAATATTTCTGTTGGCTCAGGACCTGGGAGCAGCTATCACTTTCTCCCAGACATCTGACCTGTGATCAAACACCAGCTGTTGTTATTTCATAAACTACTGTCTCAAGAACCTGGAATGTCCTCTGTCCTAGCAGCCCTCTAACCTGACATTTCTCCAATGCATGTCCACCTCATATCTTGCTGGTGACAGCCTCGTTTTCCTTAATGACTTCCTCTTGACATTACCCCTGCAGAAGCACAAAATGATTGCCAGCAAAGCTTTGCTTACAGTGTTGCTCTAAGTGCATGACCTGCTCTTGTATCCTCACACAGACTGTCAAGGTCATCTCATATCTTCCTATGCAGCATCCAGCAAAGTTGCCTTGGCACAGGCTTGTCCACTTCTCTCTCTGCTGCACACCATTATTAATACCAGCCTTGACAGCTCATTCTTTGTCCTTGTCTGTCCTGTCTCTCTGCTTCATTTTATGGGATTTACTGTACCTCTGCCTGTTTTGAACAGGGTTTTTGTATTCTAGAATTTGCCATTGCTTCTCCACTGCAGCAGTAACTGAAACTAACTCCCCAAAGCCATCTCTGCAAGCATCCCTCCATTGTGCCTCCTGAAGCTTTGGACATGTGTGCTTTAGTTTGCAAGTGCTATGTGATACACAGAAACCCCTGTGCTGCATCTGTTATAAAAACCTTAATACAAGAGCACAGACAAATGCAACATAAGGCTTGCTGTTGGCACTCGGCAGAGAAATACAATCCTACAAATCACATAAGCAGAAGATCCTTGTGTCTTCCCATGTGTAGACAATAGTACGAGCCTTATTGAATTCCAAGTGTCTTCACACTTTTCTTACTTGGAAGCTTCCACTTGACTGCTGTTGTAAATTAAAAAACAGTAAAAACAAGTTCAAGAATTATAAAATACAGAACCAGAGGCACACTGGTGTCTTGAAGGAGTTGGCTCCATGCCTGTCACATTTGAGCCTGGATTTAAAATACTTCTATGGCCTATATTATTTGGGGTGACAACAATTAATAACATTAAAGAATTATTCTATTGTGGTCTACATACCACTTTTCCTGCACTGACAGACAAAAAGTTTTACATAACTAGAGTTGCTGTTATGAACAGGAAGGTACCTATAAATGATATAAACCGGGAAAATTTAATCGGAGACTCGTATGACACAGTTATTTTCAATGCACGGCCCGGAGCTAATGAGACGTGTGAATGGTTCCATTGTGTGACTGTCTGAGGTTCAGCTGTGAGCTGTGGCAGTTTCGGAGCGTGAACAGGGTCCAATTCATGACTGCTGTAATTGGACAGAAGTGGGTGACATTGCCAAAGCGATGGGTCAAGTGCAGAGCGTGCGCTCGCACAGCCGGAGCCTGGCTGCAGCTCCGGGGCTCCCAGGCGTGGCCGGGCGGTGGCACAGCCTGCCTGAGGTGGCCTCTTTCAGTAGGGATTGAGGGACACAATTCATGCAGAGCCACAGGTGACACTTCTGTCGGATAAACTGCAGCCCCCTGTGGTGGTGTGTGAGTGGAGAAGCAAGGTGGGATGGCAGAGAGAGGCCAAACAGAGCAAAGCTCCTGTTCCACCCACAGTGAGGTTGATGGAGATGCGTGTGCGGATGGAGTGCCCCAAGTTCCCGTGCAGCTGGTGTGGGCGTTTGCAGACTCACCACCTCTCCAGGGAAGAGCTTCCCATGAAAATCCTGCCCTGGAAAGCCTGTGGGGTAAACATCAGGTGAATTTGACTCCCAGGTTTCCTTGTGCCGGCAGCTCTGCTGCCTGCAATGGGGCTGCTCCTGCCACAAGTGTGATGCCTGAGCTGCCTCACCTCAGCTGAGTGAGGGCTTGAGTGACATGGAAGAATCAGAGTTTGTGAAAGTCAGATGTGGGCACTGAATGGGACAACAG